GGCTGCTCAGCTCGGGCTGACTCGAACCACTGTTGCTCAGAGCTCAAACTCTTGAGCGAGCTCTTAACCAACTGAGCCACTCAGCCGGCCCTCTATGTAATGTTTTTTAAACAGTTCTTTGCATGTATTTTTTATTACATACCTTACAAAACAGGCCCGAGAGTAGAAATATTCAAAGATGGAAAGATGAAGTACATGTTAAAAATCATACTGTTTAGTGAAAGTTGATGGCTGTCATAACTGGAAAAGATACTTGTCAGAGGTAGATTCTAAAGGAAGAAGTGTGTCTTTGATTGCATTTATTAAATGATGGCACTTTCCAATCCCATTCACCACCATGCAAAGGCTTTCAATTGAAATTAAAAGCTAGTAAATCGAGTAAACAAAATGCAAGTATTGACTATTAGATCGTCTCCACAACCATTTGAGTGAGTTATCATTATCCCCATTTTCAGATGGGAAACAGAGGCCCAGAGAGGTAAAATAACTTGCTAGGGTCACAGAACTGGGAACCCAGGCAGTCTGGGCCCAGAGTCTGCTTAACTGTCACCGGTCCTGCCTCTGTTACAGGCACTATGCCGAGCCCTGGGGGGAAGATAGAAGACGTGCAGGGCTTACTAAGAAGACACCGGGGAGGGTGGTGCTGGAAGGAGAAGTCCGGGGTTTACTCCTCAGCCCTCCAGAGAGTTTTTTCCACCTTGCAGTGACCAGCAAATCTTACCCAGTGCTCTCAGTTCTTTGTCCCCCTTCAGTATCCCTGGAGATAGCACCCCCAGAAATTGTCCCCCTCATCACTTTTGAGGATCTCAAGGCATTTAGTAGAGAAGGGGCTTGTCACCTTCACTCCCACTGAGGGGGGGCGGCCTGGTCTTCTGCTTCTTCAGTGGGTCACCTCCCAGGTGTGCACTCCAGCCTCCCAAGCTGATACCTTCCTGTCTGTGGTTACCTTAGAAACAGCTTTCTCCCATCAACACCCCTGTAGCTGAGACAAACTGAATAACAGGGAAGGTGCCAAGATAAATTGTAAAGGAAAATGTGTGAAAGAAAACCAGTTTTAGATTGAAGGCTAATATTTTGGGAAGTTGGATATGTATGTGTGTCATTTTTTTCCCTCAAATAAGTAAAAGTTCCCAGGATCAAATGTGAGATACAAAAAAGGTGAGATGCTAAAGCTAAGATTTAAAAAAAAAAAACCACAAAAACTTGCCCAAAGCCGGCTTTAAAAAGTAAAAAATGTCCTTTAAAATAAAAAAATTGACATACAATAAATTACACATATTTAAAATGTATAACCTGATAAGTGTTGACACGTATACAAACATGAAACAATCACCACAATCAAGATAACGAATATATTTATTACCTCAAAACGTACTTTTGCTCTGTTCTAATTCTTCCCTCCCACTGAATCTCCTCCCCTCCTTGTAGTCCTGGGGTGATCGCTGACCTGCTTTTTGTTCCTGTAGTTCACGTTTTTTAGAACTTTATAAAAACGAGATAATAGAGCATGTGTTCTTTTTTGTATGACTTTTACTCAGATTCCTCTATGTTGTCAGGTATAGAGTATATCTACTCATTGCTGAATGGTATTTTTAAAATTTCAATTTCTAGTTGCTTACTGCTAAGCCAAATATGGTTCTTTTTGTATATTGATCCCGTATCCTGCAATTTTGCTAAACCCATTTATTTTGTAGATTCCATCAGATTTTTTGTTTAGATGATCATGTTGTCTGAGAATAAAGACAATTTTACTCCTTCCTTTCCATATGTATTTCTTTTTCTTGTCTTATTGTGCTAGCTAGAACCTCCAGGGTAATGTTGATAGAACTGGTAAGAGCAAACATCCTTGTCTTGTTTCTGATCTTAGGGAAGAAAGCATTTATTTTTCCACCATTAAATATGATGTTATCTGTAGGTTTTTCATAGATGGTCTTCTATCAGATTGTGGAAGTTCTATTCCTAGTGTGCTGAGGGTGGTTGTTTTTTGGTGTTAGATAAGATGTTTGTATTTTATCAAATTCTTTTTCTGGATTGATTGAGATGATCATATAGTTTTTCTTGTTTAGTCTGTTGATATTGTGGATTTTCAATGAACCAGCCTTGAATTTCTGGGATAAATACCACCCGGTTGTGATATTTTAATCTTTTTATATATTGTTTGATTTGATTTGCTAAAATTTTGTTAAGAATTTCTACATCTATGTTCATTACTCTGTCAATTTGTTTTCTTGTAATGTCCTTGTCTGGTATTGAATAATGCTGACTTTATAGAATGAGTTGTAAAGAATTCCCTCCTCTTCAATTTTCTGGAAGAGTTTGTATGGAATTGGCATTATTTCTTATTTAAATGTTTTATAGAATACCCCCCTGATGAAGCCATTTGGAGGGATTTTCTTTGTGGGAAAGTTTTTAACTACAAATTCAATCTTTTTCGTAGCTATAAGGCTACCTGGGTGATTTTTTTTCTTGAGTGAGCTTTTACAGATCCAATTTGCAAAGAATTTGTCCATTTTATCTAAGTTGTTGAGTATATGGGCATACAGTTATTTATAATATTCCCTTATTATCTTTTTAATATATATAAAACCTAGAATGATGTCTACTCTCTCGTTACTGGTATTTGTCATTTTTTCCCCCAACCAGTCTGACTATAGATGCATAAATTTTATTAATCTTCTCAAATAACCAGGTTCTGGGTTCATTGATTTTTGTTTTATTGATTTCTGATCTGATCTGTATTGCTTCTGCTTACTTTGGATATCGCTTGCTCTTTTATAGTTTCTTAAGATTGAAGCTGAGGACATTAATTTGAGATTTTGCTTTTTTTCTAATATAGGCATTTCCACATTATAAATGTCTAAGTACTGTTTTACCTACAAGCCACAAATTTTGATATATTGTGTTTTCATTTTTATTCAGTTCAAACACATGGTTTATTTAAAAGTGAATTATTTCGTTCCCAAATATTTGGGGATTTTCCAGATATCTTTCTGTTTCTAATTTCTACATTGTTAACTACATTGTTACAGAAA